TGATTTATATTTGTATTTTAAGAATTGTATTTTTATTATTTAAAGATGTAAAATTTAAACAAATAAAGATAACTTTTTATATAATTTTACAACAATAAAATTATCAGTTCATTAACAGTGTTAAATAAATATCTAAACATTTGTAAATAATTGTGAACGTTTACACGTTAATTACTACTAACATTAATTAATTAATTAACATTAGATACTAGTAATGATAGCAAAAAAGACTGATTTAAGTTTATTCATTATAATTATTTATCTTTTTATTAGAGATGGCCAAATGGCATATAGTTGAACACTATACAATACTATACATATAGTGCATATAGTGCGTATAGTACGTATAGTAGTGTTGGGCGATTTTCAAATGTAATACTATTATAAAAAAAAATTTAATTTGGCTATTATGATAAGCATAAATCTTTAATTATATTGAATGAATTAAATATCATAAAAATCAAAACCGCTTTCATTTTTATAAAATTTTCATCAGCTTCTTTGATGAAATTTTCATCAATTTCTCAATTATGTTGTAATTTATCTGTACACTAGTATTTGAAGTATTAAAATGTTCTCCAAAATAATTTCTTTTAATTTGAATTGTGGCATTTGGACAAAGCTTAAATGTTTTTCACATCTAGATATTGAACTAGAACGTTGATATTTTGGATTTTCGCATAAAGTTTAAAATATATCGTGAGAAGAGTATTAATTTATTTTTAAGTGTAACATTACATCTATTATTTGGCAATAACCTAAACAGGAATTGATTTACATTTACTAGCACTAGTACTAGTACTAGTAGTCGTGTGACATGTCCGAAAAATTTCCGGTGATCTACACAATTTTTTATTAATATTAATAAAATATGTCTTCATACCCTCGTTTGATACCCTTGTCGTGTAGCAATTGCCACCAAATTTGATACATAACTTCTTTGTCATATAAAGCATATTATTGCTCTTCCTACTGATATTGCTTCGGCTTCTATTATTTAATAAATGGACATACGATGATGTAGAAGTAAAAGATATATCATTGACAGACTACATACAAACTCGTAATCCAGTTTATTTACCGCATACAGCTGGTCGTTTTTCCACAAAAAAATTTAGAAAAGCACAAGTAAATAATGTTTTTCTTTTTAATGTTGATAATTAAAAGGATCAAAAATCTCATTACCTGTTCAAAAATCTTAGTGTCCTATTGTTAAACGTTTGACCAATTCACTTATGATGCATGGGCGTAATAATGGAAAAAAAATTAATGGCAGTTAGGATTGTAAAACATGCATTTGAAATTATTCACCTTTCAACTGATCAAAACCCTATTCAAGTTTTGGTTGATGCTATAATTAACATTGGTCCGCGTGAAGATTCAACTCATATTAGTAGTGCGGGCACAGAAGCAGTTAATGTTTCACTCTTCGTAGAGTGAATCAATCTATTGCATTATTAACAATTGGAGTAAGTTGTGGACATTTCTTTTACAAAATTTTCTATTGATTATGATTATTTTGAATATGTTTCTAAATATATTATAATGACAACATGGTAATAATAGGCACGTGAATTAGCTTTCAGAAATGTTAAAATAATGCCGAATGTTTAGCCGATGAATTAATTAATGCAGCTAGTTTGTATTTCATTTCATTTTTATTTAAAAAAAATAAAAAAATTCCAATTAATGAAAATTTATGTTTTAATTAGAGGGAAGTTCAAATTCATATGCTATTAAAAAGAAAGATTAATTAGGTATTTGCTATTTGACCTATTTATTGTTTTTAAAAAAATTTAATATTAATACTAATGGAATATATTTTAGAACGTGTTGCCAAGTCTAATCGTTAAAGATATAACTATTAATCAGTATTATTTATTTACTATAAATAAATTATCTAATTCGAAATATTGGATTAATGTGATAACAAGATTACGCCATCAAAAAAAATTACTCCCAAAAATTAAGTTTAAAAAACAATGGTTTTTTGCTAGCCAGCTCATATCCGCTCCTATTATGTTCAAGATTCAGCAAAGAGGAAAAGATATGCTATTACTATTCCTTTACAACGGTCGCGCCTACTTTGTCGACAGTTCATTTTATCGACAGTTCATTTCGTTGACAGCTCATTTCGTCGACAAACACTTCACTGACAGTTAGTTTACATGTGATGATGATGTTGTCACTGACTATTTTGGTGATTATAATAATTGATGATAATTATTGTTTTAAATAGTGTGAATCAGACGAATTGACAATATGCTAATGAATAGATAGTATTGAGATTTTAAAACTCGGGAAATATTTATTTTTCTTCAAGATGCATGAAATTCAGTCATTAATATGCTTGCAAACTAATTAGTATCCAAATTTTCTTTTTTATCTAAATTTCCTGATGCTTCGGAAATCATAATTCCTATAATCAATGCGTATGTATGTTACTCTAAAATCATATGGATTGTGAATCAGACCCTTTTACAATGTGTAAAATCTCAGATTTTTAAAAGAGAATGTCGCTTCTAAAAACTCTCTAAACGAAAATGGATAACGCAGCAGCGTAGTACTGGTTCCAACTAATTTCTTACGCTAACAATAATGTTGGTTTCCAAAACTAGAGAACTTCGCAACCGTGCGAAAGTCGAAACTAGTTTTGATTTTTGACTATTGACTTTTGATTTAGTTTTGACATATAACTTT